AAGGTGACGCTGTACTGATAACTCATCTCTCATAATCAGTACGTATATTCTGGGTATGTCTTGGTATATATACTATGTTAGTACTTTTGACCAGTCCCATATAGACTCTCCGACAGTCTCGTTGTCAGATGCGGTGAGTATTTTGTACCTATTCCATCCCACTCCAATCTAATCAACTGCACTCCTACGTAGGGGTGAGTGAGATCTTCAACGAGTATGTTGGTTGAACTTGGCTCAACCTGACGACTACAACAGGTGTGAGTCTGGCCCAGTGTTTGATCCTACGAGGGTGATCACTAATTGGGTACTTCAGGCAATGATATCGAAGCTGTACAAAGTTGGGTAAATGTGGTCGTAGCTGCCATGCTGGGCGGTAAGCTACAAAACCGTAATGCTTCAGTGATGTTGCCTGGACTAAACCACCACGCAAGTCATCATGATCGCTCGGTTACATGCTATGTATCAGGGATCGAGAAAGATGCTCATCTTTCTCATCGTAATCTTCCTTGCTGTCAACATTGCCTGCATAGTGATCACCGCGATAGGGATTAAGTATATTGTGGGGGGTAAGTTTTACTTATTGGATTGAAGAGAAGAACAGAACTCATCGAACGAACACCAGAGGAGGTGATACTCTTTAACACCTATGAATGCGGTTATGACTATGAGGGAGATATCCAGATTTTGATCACAATAGTTTGGACACTCGGTACTGCATGGGAAGTCCTCGCACTGTCTTTTTCAGTCTGGATTGCAGTAAGACACTTCCGTGACATGCAACGCTCCAGATCAACGAGAGGGTCGATCATCGAGGACTGTTTCACAGTAATGATAAAATCTCACCTGCTTTACTTTGCAAGGTTAGTTTGTGATGTGAACGAGGTCATAATTGCCCCTGAATTTCTGCACATGCTAGCTTTGCTGCTGTTTCTTGCCTCCAGCTCGGACATGTCTCTCCAGCCATCTTGGTGCGCCGATTTGTCACTGACATCTACATGTAACCACTGCTCATATTTTCTATAGGACTCAAATTCTGTGGGAACTGAGATATACACCGGCATTCTTCAAATTTCCTTGACCGTGCAGATGTTTGTGCTGGGACCGCGTCTCATCCTTAGTGTTCGAGATTATAACGCTAGGCTTGTGACCAATTCCGACGCAGCAACCTGTATGACTTCGATCGCTTTTCAGGAGCGTGTAGATGTGTCAACTAGCAGTACTGTGTAGCACGGGAAATGCTGCTGGGTGCTCTGCAGGGAGGATAGAAAGTGTTTGAAGTTCTGCCGTATATTTATTGCTGTTCCAGTAGAGAACCCAGGGGTCTCTGCAACCCAGTTTCCTGTTGTATCGCTACAGGCACGAAGTACTAGCTACTCACTCACACATGCACCGAGTTGCAAGCCGGATCTTTTGCACCCATCCTGTCTCTTCAGATGCAAGGTCTATGATATTTACGTCTGTAGAGTGTTTGTCTCACTAAATTCACCTTTCCTTGTGTAGGCATATTCGTAGTAAGAACGCGATGTGGGGGGGCTCACGAATCCTGTTGGTCGTTCCATTTGCTTTACAATTTATTCTGTATGGCCTCTTTGAAGGTGTATATTTCGTGTAGTTTGAAACTAGGCATGCACGAGGGTGTATCAGGATAGTAGTAGGATCTGCCCAAGATTTAAAATAACGATGGAATGATTTTCAATAACGACTGCGCAGCTGCCGTCTCCAGTAATGAAGACGAGAACAAGTGCGTCAAAGTCTCGCGAGTACTGCAGCTAGCGTGGACATTGTATCTTCTTTATCGTCAAGTACATGGATGATTCCCTTACCGGTGATGTGCGCTCCCTCTGCTCATCCTCGAAAATCCTCCAATTAAGCACCCACCGTCACCAGTCCCGCCGGGATAATGAAATATCGCACATTTTTAATGCGCTGGACTGTGCTGTGCTGGGCAGCCAAAATTGAATTGTGATACTCTAGTGCGCACGCTCTCGATACCAAGTAGAGTGAGAATAATGCGCGGAGAATGGGTGAATATTGACTTGGGCAGGGAGGAAAATTCAGGCTGAGAGGAAGATAACATCTGCATGTGAAGAAGACCTGCTTGCGTAAAATTGGTTAAATAAAAAAGGGAGTTTAAAAGGCAACATAGGCCGCTTCGAGGTCCCCTCCTGCCTGTATATCAATGTCAACACTGACAGCACAATGAATTCGTTATTGTCGCCCGGATGGGGGATGATGATCTAGTTCAAATGTTGGAGAGCAGAGGTACGATCGTTATATGTGGAAGACGTACTAGGTCTTGAGGGTGGTGTGAAAGGAAATGCAATTGTTGAGGGTGAGCTCAAATTCAAAGGTAGTTGAGGATGGACAATTTGTAACAACTTCTCTGAACCCTGGTAGATTCGTACCGGTGACCGGCCTGGACTTGTCTGGGTACGTCACTCGACTTGTCCGTGATAGGAAAATAAAATAAAAATGTCGGGTTGGTCACGAGCCTAGTTCTCTGGCGCCGGAAAAGGGCTAGGCAGGACAAGAGTAGGACGAAATAATTGTTCATAGTAGACCTCTGATGATTTATGATAGTCCTGATTCCTATGTGCACACCAGGAAGATTCCTTGGGTCGACAGTGGACGCACGCGAAAGTCAAGAAATCTGCATTGACAACACAATGCAAGGGTTCATGGACTCTCGCATTGTGACCAAGTTCACAATGGGTCGAATATGCTCGAAAGTCAAGAATCTGGATCCTGCGGCACTGTGCGGTGTGTACCCAGTGTGACAAAAAGTGACAAACTCTTGAAGTGACAATCACGAGACCAATGGAAGGCCTCTGGGACTCCGGCCTCCTCGTTACATTTGAAATATAGGATTTTGGGCATATTAAGCAGAATGTATTAACTCTGTCCCTAAATTCAGTGAGCAACTTTGAAGACGTGTTGGAGTAGTATCGGTTGTTCGCAGACCTCCGAGTCCGTTCTAAATCTTGAAGAACCAAACAACGTGCGCTGTATCCAGTTACGTAATTTAAAAGTGCATGTCACGTATTCTATGGCACGCAAATTCATCGAACATGCCCTCGCAATGGATGATGAATCATTGAACGGAAAAAAATCATGTGAGGGAGGTGATGCATAAGTCACGCACCCGGTCATTTACTTGCCATTAGCTATTCTTAACAGCTTACTTCCACCACATCCCCTTGAGTGCATCTTAAGTTATGCGCCAATCCTTATACTGCTTTGCAACACTACCAGGCAGCCATCGACATTCTTACTCGAGGTTGCCATGGACAGGATGAGGGAGATGAGTTGGAGAGTATTGTGAGGGCTTACATCAGCATGGTCGAGTACGGATGGACCCCTAGTGCGTTTCAATTTACTTATGGAAAACTCTCGTAAAAGAATTGGCAGTTCGGAAATTTTTCCTGCTGCCTGGCAATATATCAGTGCGCCAATTGGAGTCTTTTTTCCTTCTACCACGCCTTGAAAATTCACTCATGGATGAATACTTCAAGGCCTGTCATAGCCAGCTGGCACCATAACAGATTAGGAATCTGCTCTCTTGGGTGGTGTGGATTCGGAAAGATTCGAAACCTGCCGACAAATGATTTCCCCTGGTATCATACCTTGACATTCACTTATGGACAGTTCGAGATTTATCCCAACTTGGGGAGTGTCCTAGCGAAGAAAGTGGTTACCCCAACAGAATCGAAATCTGTTTCTCTTGGACTACGCAGGGTCGAAACCTGCCGAGACAAGTTTTTTCGATGGGAACACACCTTGACATTCACTCATGGATGGTTTCGTCTGAGATTGATGTTAACCGGTCTTAGCAACCAAGTGGTTACTACAAAAGAATCAAAATCTGTTTCTCTTGGATTGCGCAGGTTCGAAACCTTGCCTACAATAAGATTTTTTTCTATTGGAACACGACATTGACTCAAGGATGGTTTCCTTGGAGGTTCATCTCAACAGATCTTAACCAAGTGGTTACCATAACAGAATCAAAATCTGTTTCTCTTGGACAGCGCAGGTTGGAAACCTGCCGACGATAAAGTTTCTTTTCTATCGGAACACACCTTGACATCCACTAATGGACAGGTCTTCGGAGGTTGTCTTCAACTGGGCTTAGCCATGTGATTACTACAACAGAATCCAAATCTGTTTCTCTTGGATCGCACAGGTTCGAAACTTGTGGGTGACAAGGTTTTGTCTATCGCAACACACCTTGACATTCACTCATGGATGGTTTCTTCAGAGACCCATCCAACTGCTCTCAGCCAAGTGGTTACTACAACAGAATCCAAATCTGTTTCTCTTGGATTGCACACTGGGTTCGAAACTTGTGGGCGACAAGGTTTTTTCTATCGCAACACACCTTGACATCCACTGATGGACAGACCTTCGGAGGTTCTCTTCAACTGGGCTTAGCCATGTGGTTACTACAACAGAATCCAAATCTGTTTCTCTTGGATTGCGCAGGTTCGAAACTTGTGGGCCACAAGGTTTTTTCTGTTTCAACACACCTTGACATTCACTCATGGATGGTTTCCTCAGAGGTCCATCTAACTGGTCTCAGGCAAGTGGTTACTATATACAACAGAGTCGAAATCTGTCTTTCTTGGAGTCGGTTCGAAACCTGCTAACAACATTTTTGTGGTGTATAGATCCTCAGAGGTTCATCTTGATTGATTTTCGTTATGACACGTCCAGTGCAGTCACCCATGCTTCGCTGCTGTGTGTAAACGTTATCAATGCATCAAACCCAACCAATGGTTTGGGAAGATACGCCATTTTAGAAGTCGAGAATTTCAATTGCCGCTCGCTAGTGACTAGTAAGTGTCGAGAAACTGTGATTGATGGCCCTGCTAAACTGGATATAATACTAGTCACGGTAATGCCACCATGTCCTTTACCGTGGATTGTACAACTCGGAATGTAAGTTTAGCGCATTGATTCACACATGGTGTATAATTGCTCATCATGGTCATCCATTTTTCATTAGCGGAATGTCTAGAGTTTCCAAGCTTGTGATAACATCCGACAGTTGCGAAATCTTAGCTGAAGGCATCGGCAATCTCGAGGGTCCAACCACTATCTTGGTTCATGGCTTAGGGTCATTCACAGTTGTATTCGACAACCTTTTCAAAGACGATCAGTTACTTTCCAAAGTTTATCTTGAAGGTGAACCATCCTATTTTTCAAATCATACTTTGAAACGTTGCAGGTGAGATATGATATGAGAAGTCATGGCAAGAGCGGCACACCTGTGGACCAGAGCAATTATTCCTCCCCGAAGTTCACTGCGGATTTCATGACTGTGATCGAAGGATTTAACCAGCAAAAGCCTTATTTATTCGGTGAGTCGACAAACTGCACTCTTTCAGGGCACTGATAATGATTTGCAGGAGTTTAGAGGCTAAGTCAGTCGTGTAGGGGAACATTCCCTCCTCTAACAACATTCGTTTAGGAACTGTTGTGATGGACGACTGCACCCGCTGTCCCACAGGCTATTTGTCGGGCGTCATTTACGTTTCCGCACTCCCTTGCATCGGACCAATCATGATGGACTTGGGAGAAGAGTGTCTTGAAAACCTTCAACCAAAACTCTTTACGCGAGACGATCGACTTGGTCGATTCCAAGATCAATGATTATACCGCTTCGAACTGGGACGACCGGTTACTGCAGTTGCGATTATAACACCCGACGTCGCTTCCGAACCGGCCAATTTCAAGATGTCCACTGGTAAGTCGTAAACATGGTCTTGCCTCTTGTGGCGATCATTGTCACATCATTCCGCTTGTATTGTCGTGTGCGGCAAGGACATCTGTGGATCGATGATTTATGGGTAACCTTCGCCATGATATTCACTCTCGGCTTATTGGTTGTCGATTGGTTGTATCTGCAAGCCTACGGCGAGCCTTGTTTTGTTGTGTATGATACGTACCATTTTTAAAGACGCCCAGAAAATTTCCTCAAGGCGCAAGGGTAGTACTGTACTAGTATGTTCTCTTATATTGTGACGCTCAAGAGACATTAAATTTGTTTTGGACTAGGGTCTGCCAATTCTTTTCCGCAGTTGTTTGGTACGGCTCTGGCGGCGTGTCACTAAAGGCGATGTAACTGACATGCACACCTGTAATAGGTGTTCCAGGATATCAATTCTGTACGACTCACTGTCCTAGGAACCCTTGGGCTGTACTTTCTGCGCAAGTCTGGTTGACTTGTGAATGTGAGCCCAACTGGAAAACACAACCACCCCCACAATGCGATCTCGGCAGAAATGTTGCAATAGCGCAGATCATCGGTGAGAGTCAACAGTCCATACAATGCAATAATTTTCTGACTGATATTTCAGCTGACGTTTTCGGTGACATTATTCTTATCTTGGCCCCGTTTCGCCTCATTTATAAAGTCAGATTGATGAAGGCACAGAAAATCCGGGTACTCGCCATCTTTTCGACGTCAGCAATCACCACCGTTGTTAGTCTTGCCCATGCATATTATGTCTTGTCTGATGGAGGGCCAAGGGAGGCAGTGGCTGCTATGGTAGAGGTATAGTACTATCAGTACTCAGACCGCAAGTATTATTGATCACCTTTTAGATTTCTGTGTCCTTGATTGTCGCGAACTTAAGCGTGGTCGTGGCATTCTTCTTGAGAATGAGCGCAGAAGATGACACATCTAGTTCGCCAGCACCGTTGAAATTTACGTCCATCGTAACCTTTGGATCACAGCCTAGGTAGCGCCGCTTTAGCGACTCTCTCGCCACGACTGTGATAAACGTTGAAACCACCACGATTAAATTGATCGATCTCCCTGAAACTTGCCCCAGTGTGCTGAAAAGTGGCAACACCGACGAAATTTCGTTAAACAGCGCGGAGGGAAAGCGGACTGATGAATTGTGCATCAACAAAACAAACCAAAACCGTGCAAACCACGTAGCAGGCCAGTAATAGCCGGAACAAGGTACACAATTACTACATTCCCTGCACACAACCGAGAGAGTTGCGAGCTATGATACAAGTCTGTGCATGTGACTAGGTTTTATCCATATTCCTACAAGCCTTTAGCGCTTTAGCATTTAGGTCGAGCAAGGTTTCTGCTGACTGAGGCGACTATCCAAATGTACTGTACCAACCCAAAACAATTGTCCACAACAAAACGAAACGAAAAATGCTGTTCATGGTAAATCACTTTCGTCCACATTCAAGATAAACTTGGTATAGAAACGAACGCCTTCATTCAAGCTATCTGCACGGAAAGCTGGTATGAGGGACTGCATGAGCGAGGAAAGCAACGTAACACTATGTAACACTTGCCTTCATTGACAGTGTGTGCTCCATTGAAGATATCAGTGTCAAAGGACGGCGAGAAGCGGAAAATATGCTTGGTCAAATTCCAGTAGAATCGTGTGTCTGAGACCACATGAATGGATAATTCATTATGAGTAGATCACCGTTGCTTACCAGTGTTGCCTGGTTGATACCATTCGTTAGAATCGTGCAGTGCAAACCAGACAACCAGCATACCAATAGATAAAGAGGGTATAATCACGACCTCACTGCTGCGGGTAGGGGAGCTCTCAAAGGTAGCTTTAATGCTTCCTTGCAAGAGTGCCCAAGGACCATACTCGGTAGGCGTCACGGGCGAAGGTTCCAAGGCCGTCCCGAGGAAGTCGGACAGAACGACTTGACCAGCACCACCACAAGTCACATTGCTGCCGAACGCGACGAGTGCGAGGTCATACTTGGCTGCCAACGGGGTCAAAAGGTCGACCATGTGCTGCTGCAGCTCGCTAACAGAACTAAAAATAAGAAGTGAGCAAAGTCCTGGAAATCCTATGTACAAAAGATGCCAGACCTATGCTCTGCGATGCGGTGATTGACCACTGCGCTAGCACGCTCTGGGAGAGCGTTAACTTTCACGCCACCTTCGACGAGGTCTACCGCCTGTGTGGTCCCAAGTATTGCTTTGTACTGGGGATGCGAAGCCAGAAGTCGCTCTTGAAGCACCTTCAGAGCCGCGTCATCTGTGACCGCTTTTCTTGCGAGTTTTCGCAAGTCGTCAGGGTACACTGGATTGTAGGCCGCAAGGCACTGCGTCGTCGCAAACGGGGTTCCTGTTCGGGAAAGACTGGCTTGGTGCGGGTTATCCTCCACCGCTGCTATGAAACGGGAGAGGAGACCGATGCTCTGTACAGTACTGCTGATTAATCATCAATCAGAAGGTGCGGCGATCGACACGCACTGTATGAGAAGGTGGTACGCTCGAATGACCACCCGGAGTTGAAACCGTGATCTTGACATCACGATATCCCTTCTCAGATGTTGAGGGAGTCGCAAAAATAATGCCACCCATGTCCGTGTAAAAAGCTAACGCAAAGTTGAGTCGTACTATTTGCAACATTTAGTGTACGTACATCCTTCGTCAAGAAGCAAGGCAAAAGAATCGCGCCCATACATTTCTTCCAAGTATCGAGCAAGATGACCAGCACCCTGAAGCGGCCTATCAATAATGAAGCTTGTATGGAGGTTATCCTGACCTCTATGCCTTTGGACTCTTCGTCGAATCCATACGAAAGTATAAGGGTGCGTGTAGGAGAGAAATCTTGCTCTAACAAGGAATCGATGGCGAGCAATTGTCGTATCAAGTCGCTTTTGTCATCGCAAGTACCACGACCCCATATCCACGTGCCTTTAATAGTACAGATGTAAGTAGCACCTCGCGGGATTGAAAGTTCGCCTACCGTCATAGTACCCTGAATACGGACCGTGTTTCCAGTCTTTGGCTGTCTGACCTTCAACTGGTACGACATCTTGAAACGACATCAACCGAAATTCCGGAGCATGTTCAAACGAGAATAACCTTGATGAGCGGCCAAGATATAAGGTTTTGCCGTAGTTGATCCCTGCCAATGAAATACTAGACCTATGTATTGATTTTGGTGACATTGAGGGACTCGTAGCTAGAAATAAAACATGAGCTACTAGCTTATGAAATGACAACTTTGAAGATCCCGACGTACACGCGAGGAAATGAGGCCTCGAGAACTCGATGAAGCTCTGCGAACGTATCCCATCGATTATCTTCACCGACCGGTCCATTATCGTCGTACGATTCGGTCCTAAGAGCGGATCTATGTCTCCACAGTGACATGCGAGATTAGGACTCACGGTACACGGACTGCATCTCGAGGGCCTGAATGGGCTCTTTGCTTGAAATTTCTGAGTTGTATGCCACATCCAAGTCTCACTGATCCCACGATGCTTGGTTGGATGTAAAGCCGCCCACTGAGGGCATGTGGTGGAATTGACGCCCGGAGATAGGGACACGGCAAGCCCATTACGAGGACCCGCAGCCACAACTGAGAAAGATGGCAAGTTTGGCAAGAAAGCGGAGTCGCAGAACTTATAGAGCACTATTGAAATGATTACCGGCCGCACAAAAGCACTCGAAATGCAAGCAGTGGCCTAAACCAGCCGCTTTCATGCCGGGTCACAGTGCTTCTTCGATTGTTCTACCATTGGGACAACATAAATCCGATTGCGCGGGGGCCATATAAGAGATATGATGACTCTTCGGAAAGCTTTTGAATGTATGAGCAACGAGGGCTATATGACTCGGAGGGAGTGGACGGGTGAGTTATGTAGTTGTTTGGTCCATTTTGAGTCCGACTCTCGGCCAGGTCAGATTCCCATCAGAGTTATCATTGAGATAGCTGCTAGGCGGTGTCAGACGTCCGAGTCAAAGTCTGCTTGATTCGATCAAGTACTTATTACTTGATCATGCCACACCACAGCTCTTCCATAAAGGACCCATAGTCTCAAATGATTCTAGTTGGTGCCGTTCATCAATTTCGTATTTCCAATTTGCAGGTTCGTGCAAATTCAGATGGATGATGTCGGTAATGTCTCGATCTAACTCGAACTGTGGTTTCCATACAGATTCTCTGGCGGTCTCATTGTCAACCGTCCGATGCAGTGAGTACTTTGTATCCGTTACCTCCCATTCGCCCAATCAACTGCACTCGTATGCGGACTCGGAGGTGAGCGAGATCCTCGACGAGCACGTTGGTTGACTTGGCTCAACAGTTTGATCTAGCCCTCAGATTTGTATCATGCGCACAGGGCATGAGTCGGTAGAGTATCCGTAGATCCCGTTGAATCTACAGTTCCTACTTATATTCTTGGTGATGATATATC